CAGCAGTGACCAGATATATTAAAGATTAAAGGATGCCAAGCTGAGGTGGGAGGAAGCCACATGGGTATATAGTATAGTTTCACTTAATTTGATAAACACAGAGTTTGAATTTGTTAATATGTAACTATACGATTTTACAACTGTAACTTTTCATTATTGAACAATAAAACGAATATAAATAAATAAAAAATGCATGTTCAGATCAGTGGCACTGGCATGAGCACCGACATGGTTCCACAGTAGGCCAACATCTTCAAGGCTGACTTAGAACACCACTTTCTCAGCTTCTTCCAGAGTAGCTCTTCCATCAGAGATAAAAACATTACATTGAATCATCCGGAATCATGGACAGAAAGCATCTGTGCTATTCTAGCAGGACTTCACCAAGCTCAACCTTACACTGCTAAGCATACTTACAGGCTTTGTACTTCTGCCACACCACAAAATCCACACACCACAAAATCCACAGGACCACAGCAAAGATCTAAGATGAAGCCACATTAGGTTTCGACAGAGACTGACAACCAAAAATATTGACATCTGGCATTCCTTAGACTACAATTACTCACCCGAAAGAGTGAAAACACAGATCAACAAGGCCAGATTGGGAACCAGGAATTATCTACCATAGGAAAGACATAGAAGCAGCTGTCGACACCTACAGCTCCCAGGTAAAAGCTTTTGTGTATCATCAATTATCTACAGCCCATATGGGAAAAATGACACAAACTGAATTAGGCTGAAGATGCTTAGAAGCTACTGTGCAACTGGAAGTACTGCCTGATTAGTGTGTAACAAAACTAAGGCTTCCCTATTAACAAAAAGAAAGATATTCCTATAAAGCTATTCTATATCAAGGAAACACCCCCCTCCAAAGTCTACACAACAGTGTGATGTGACAGAGAAACAGCAGCACTAAGAAAAAACTTGGATGTGATAGCATATGTGATGCAACAGTCAAGATGATCCTCCGGATTATGAACTTCAGCCACAGAAAGGGCTGTTCTGCTTTTATAAATTATAGAAGGGGGAGAGGGAAGAGACAGTGGTAGGAAGAATCTCAAGTACTTTCACTCCTTTAAATTGAAGCTGCCAAGAGTCATCTAGGGAGAAAATGTCAGACAGACAAGATGGAATGAAGCTTTGAACAATACAATCAAAATCACAAGAATACTTGAGAAGGGAGAGGATAACTCTAAACCCCAGACTTGTTACTCCACTGATGAAATGCAAGCCCAAAATCAAATTAGCTTCACATTCTTCCTGCTGTGCCAAGAGGCTTATGCCAAGCAAAATTGTAAGTTGCTATAAAACAGAACTAGGCTATGGGATAAAAGGATGGGATTCATCAGTATTTAGGATCACTGCCCCAAAAAAACCATAATGTACATGGAATCTTTTTGTTGCAAAATTGTGTTTAGAAGCTTTCTATGCCACACTTAATTTTGGCAACAAACCCCCATCACAATATCCTTTCTTTCAGCAAAAAAATTCTCCCAATTTTTGCTTTTACAATAATGGCCATTTGGGAACATTACTGCCAACATTTTGGCCCCTCTTCTAAGCTTACTCGACCTTATGCAATCTCCACCGCAATCCAGCACCACCTATCTGTTCAGGAGGTGGTCACAGAGATCCTTGCATACAGCAGAGTAACGGTAGCTTGCTGCTGAGGAAGCAAATCTGGGTAAGTAGATATGTATTAGTTTCTTTTTCATGTTATCTGCCTTCTGCTCAATCTGCCACCTACAACTCTCTTGCCTTGCTTCAGCCTCAGTGACACCATATAAGGACCACACTTGATTGCATTAAAAAAAACACCTCAATACCCCATAGTTCAAAGAGGAGGGAGGAGGAAGAAACATTGCGTGTCTGGTTATTCCAGCCACCAACCCAGAAGACATGAAATTAGTTGCTCTCTTCAGCCACTTGGGATTTCCTGTTTCACTCCCACTCTTGCTCTGGACAAGGGCTCAGGGTTAGCAAGACTACGGGGATAAGGCAGAAGACAAGAAACCACTTATCTTGGGAGCAGTAGCAGGACATTGCTTCTTGGACAATGAGGCTCAGATCATTTTCAGACCTTAACAAACACTTAGTTTGTGTATATATGCTCATACTTTGCCTTTTATTAAAAGTTTACATGTGGAGACATACAAAGACATCTCTATTGGGGAGGGGATTTGTTTGGGATATTTTTCCCCAGATTAATGTGGTTACTTAGGAGCACAACCAAGCATGCTTGTGCACCTGTATATAGTTATACTCAGATTTATATACTACATTTTCCATGTCATTAGCTGCTGAATGTTTTAACTTTCCGTTTACGAGTGAGATTTTTATTCCAGTGCTCACCTTTACAGCTACTTACAGACTTAAACCATTAAACAATGTTCAGCTCCCTTAATTGGGAAATGCATGCAACCCAATATTAGACTAATCAACACTTACTATGCCTCTAACAAACTATATGAAATAAAATTTAGACACATTAAAATAATAAGCTAGTTGAGAATGCCCGAGTCTATTTGGCTAATTGGGCAAGACAGTTGGATATTTAATAACCACATATTAGGTTGCAACAACCAAGACTAACAGTTCAGATTTGTCCTACATGCCATCTTTCAGAAATATTCAAATGCTTGGAAATGCAATACATCTCCCCACTGCCTTGTTTCGTTTTCTAGTGAACCACTGACCACCACCATTAAAGCAAAATACTTGCTGCAAGTATGAAGATTTAATCTGTACAGAATCTGAATAGTTTACTTCCCGGAGACTGCATTATTTTAATTAATATCGTATTTGAAATAATAATTGCCAGTCTTCTTTTTGGAAATAATCAGGAGCTCTCACTTTCAATAGAAAGCCTCAAGAGGCGGCTAATATAACTCGTCTCATGAACAGACCAGTCTTGCCAATTAGTAGGCATCTTCAGTCTAATGCTGGGGTGTCAAGAAAGCATGGGAAATGACAGAAATGGAGTTGTTTGGAGAAAGATGAATTCAGAGTGAATCAACAGAAAACTACAGAGTTCCACATAAAATAATCCTCCTATCCCTTGAGCCCACCTTCTCCCATATAATCTACCTATGCACTTGGTCTATTTCTGGAGGTCCTATTTTGTATCCTACTTCCCCACTCCCAGACATGAGCAGAATGGATGCAGAGGATGAAGCCTTGACTGTAATGGTGCCTAGATTGTGAGATTCTTTTCTGAAAGGGGGAAGGGTTTGCTAGGTTTCACAGAGAAACACACAGAAATGGAAGCATCCAAAAATGTGAACAAAAAAGGGGAATTGTTTCTCAGAGATGCTGGAAAGAATGGTACATCATTGTTATATTAGCCCAACGCGTTTCAGCTCCAACGAGCTGTCTTCATGGGTTTATCTCCCTTGTTTCTTGTGTTTTAATGACCTTCCAGGGCAAAGCTCCTATGGAATCTCCCTGCCTTTAAAACTGATGGCTTCTGAGCCGCTGATAAAGAAACAAATGAGATAGACCCCCAAAGAAGGCTCCTTCGAGCCAAAACGCTTTAGGTTTCAGATGACAAGCTTAAGACCTTTATTTGAGGACAAAACCAATAATTTAACATTTCCGTACTTAATTATTTTTTATTGCCGATACAGATTTATTGTTTAGGCATATAGTTTACTGCCTTTTTGTATACAGTGGTACCTTGGTTTGCAAACAGTCTGGTTTCCATATGTTTTGGATTACAAACACGTCAAACCTGGAAGTGCGTGTCCCAGTTTGCAAACTTTTTTTGGATTACAACCCATTTTTTTGGGATTATGAACAATTTTTTTGGGGGGAGGCCCCATTGGCGAAAGTGTGCCTTGGGTTACAACCTGTTTTGGTTTACAAACAGACCTCCGGAACAGATTATGGTTGTAAACCAAGGTACCATTGTATTTTGACTGTTTTATATGTGTTGTTTAGCATATTGCTTAGCTGCATTGAAATGTATATGTGGGTGGTGGTTCAGACATTTCAAATAAAATGAAATGTCAATGACACAAGATTTTTGGTGAGCCTTCTTTGGAATATATAGCTCTCCTATATGCAGCCATGCTATGACGACTCTCGTTTTAAATACCCCTACTATATGTAGACTACAGAAGCTGTGATATATTGCTGAGGGGGGCAGGAGAAGAGTAGAGGAAAGCAAGCCTTCAACCACCAGTTATGTCTATGTCTCATGCAGAAAGACATTTTGGCAAATTAAAAAAATCCACCCAGAAAGAAATTTTATCCCAGAAAGAGGACGTGTCCTGGAAAAAGAGGATACATGGCAACCCTAAGTCCAAGCTATCTGTTGCTGAGATATATTTGTGTCATCAACTGGCAAGTGCCAAGCAATTAATATATACATCAATTTTGAGAACTGCGGCTGTTTTTGTTTTTTTGAAATGTAGTGCTATCAACATACATGGCACTGTAATATAAACCAGTCCAGTTTGTAATCTAAATTTTGAAAGTAGGGGAAGGAAAGGCCAGAGTAAACGAGGGAGATACAAAGAAGCGTACTTAAGAAATTTAGGCTTCATTTAAATTTAGGATTAGGGGTTAAGGCCAAAAGCTCCAGGCCTCAAAAGGGGCTTGTTGTTAAAGAACGGATCACTGTATTTTGTTAGAAACGTTTTCTGTGCTGCTCTAAGCCCTCTTCTCATAATCTGTTTGCCGTCTTGGTAGCTGCAGCACATGGAGGTGACATCTCCAAGGACTTGCTGAACCATGATGAGGGCAAAATCATATGGGTGTGCAGTGATCTTGAAAGAGACTCTTATTCCCTCCGCTAAATGCAGATAACCATAGGCAAACATGCTCATCAACTTTAGTTTCAAATATCTAAGGCTCCTGCACACCAAGAATGTCAAATACTCGGAAGCTCAACAGAAATTGGCCAGCTCCGTTTCTGAAATCAAGTCTACACGGGAGAGGCATGCAGCTTCAAACAGCACTGTGCTCCATAATGAGGGCTCAAAGCAGCAGTTCACCTGGTATGTGTCCCAAAGCCTTATGGTGCACCGCAGGGGAACTTCTCTCATCAACAAGTTATTCATCCAGCGGAAAGCAAACTGAAGGTATTTCACCTCGTGTTGCTCTAAGTGTCTGTGCACTTGCTCTGAAAGAGAAAAATTGAAATAAGTTTACCAAGAGGGCTCTACGCAGCATTAATCACAAGCAGTTTTTTTTAAACCCCCCCCCCAAAAAAATAATTCAACATTATATAAGCAAGCAATTTCCTCCAAAGAGGCCTAAATAGAAACAGCAAGTAAATTGTACACCAGCATTGTAGATGACGTTCAAAAGGATCTATTGACAGGTTCAGTGATGAATATTTTCCATATATTTAAATAACTGAATGAAAATCATACTGCAAGTACAGAGTTTCAATGCAGCTACTTGTTTCTGGCACACTGATTTAGTCCCAAGTTTGTCCTAGTGCTTTTCTTTTCTTTTTTAAGTATTAAATGTTAAGATGCGATTGTGTGACACTGTCAACTTGTCATTTTAGAATGTGTCAGCTGCATGAACACAGGATGGAATTGTAGCTTAAAAACCAAGCCGTGAATATATTATCTTTTTTTTTTAAAAAAAAAATCTCATTAAAAGGCAGAATTTCTTTTTCTTTTCACTGCATGCACACTACTAAAAACAAGCTATGGGGAGTTAAGAGTTACTTATGATTCATGTGAACATGTGTGTTTTAAAATTAAAGCAGCATCGAGTATCCTCCTTAAAATAAATATTCCAAGTAAATGAATAAATAAATATAACGAGCAATCTGACAACCAAAATTTCTGGTAGATCTGTGACTGAATGGTGGTGAGGCCCAAGGAGATTTGGCCTCTTGACGAATCGGTAGTACAATTTACCCCTACATTGCTTCTCAATGAGTTTCCCCTTCCCCTCCTAAATTTTCAAGACAGCAGTGGGTAACCTCCGAACTGCATGCCCATTTAGGTTTGGCATGGTTTCTAATTTGGCCTATGAGGCCGTTTCCCCCAAGCTACACCCACCTGCTACAAACCTGATGTCAGATATGAGATTAGTCGAGACCCAGCTGCACAGAAAGCATTGGGAACCTTGCAGAGCATTCTTGATTGTTTCTTGGCGAGCAGGGCTTGCATTTGACACCTCTTAAACATGGTGCCAGATGCAAGTCTCGTGAGGATCAATTCCCTATCAGAGCTTCCGAGTGTAGCTGGTCCCTGATGGAGCTGGGTTTTGCAGACACAGTGCCAATGAGATGATCAGCAATGGCTGCAAAGTCCACTTTGCCAGGGATCTTCCTTTGTAGACCCTCCCATCAAAGTGGACCACTAGGCTTAGCAGAGAAAGAACGCCCCTTACCCTTGGTGTGCCAACACTTCTAAGAAGAAAGGCAAGACAAAAAATAACACACACACTAAGAAGGGGTTCCCCACATTCTATATGAAGCACAGAAGCCGGGGATTTTATCTTAAATTTCTAACATGCACAGCACCTTCTCTACAAAGAAACTGTATAGTGGTGAGAGAGAAGAACCACTACCTTTTCTCCCCACATGCAACCCTTACATGTTATCATAGATGCCAACTTCCTGGGTGCCTGCGCACTCACAAAATTCCCCATAAAGGGACCAGGAACCCACAAATTTTTGGTGCCACGGCTATGTACGCTGCATGGCACCCACGGCTCTGGGCACCCACAGTTGCGAGGCCATGTTGACACTCCTGCATGTTATAGAGCACAAACATATATGCAGCAAGTCTTGAATGTGTACCTGCCAATACTGATAGAGCTGCACTTGTCTCAGAGGACTCAGAAAGGCCATTGTCCAAAGACTCTCCTCCCTGAAAGAGAGGGGAGTGGTTGTGGGCGGGAGCCCGAGCACCGCCCAGCAGGGGGCGTTGCCCCCTGCCTCCAGCTCACCTGGCTGGCGCTCACGCCCCCCCCCGGTGGCCACCCAACCAGGTGCCGCGGAGGGGGCGTGTTCAGCAGCCTTTTGCTGCAGCACCGGCCTCTCCCTGGCCTCATTCCTCGTCGTCGTCCCGTCACGAGTCACCCACCCTCCACTCCATTTTAGTTAGGGCTTAGGTCATTGGCCTTGCTATGGACCTTAGGTTGGTCGCCCTGGTTGCCCGGGGGGCCTGGTAGGAGTTTTTCCATTTGGCATTAGGCTTTTTGGTTTTTTCGCCTACCTCGTAGCAATCATCACAACTTTTGTGGTATTGGTGGGTAGGTTAGGCATTGGAATAATGTGTTGTGGTGTGTCGAAGTGCTAGGTGTGGCCATCGCCTATGCCTTCAATTTTTAGGGGTATTCCGTTAAAGGTATCTGGCGGTCGTGTATTCTGTCCGATGCCTGCTTGGCGGGAGGCCATGGCACGACCCTCGGTGACAGCAGGGGTGAGCCTATAGTTGGATTAGCATCAACAGGCTCCACCTACTGGTGAATAAATCCACTTGTTTCGATCCAATGCCTAAGCCAGGGGTCTGCAACCTTTAAGACAAAAAGAGCCACTTGGACCCGTTTCCGAAAAAACAACAACAACTGGGAGCCGCAAAAACATTGCAACATTTAAAACAAATATAACACTACATATATTGTTTCTGGCCTTAATGCTATATATATAGGATCGTGCAGTCAGCTGTCAATCTCAAGAAAAAAGGACAAATTAATAGCTAATTAAAATATTTAATTTACAACCAGGTAACCAGGTTAATGGGACTTTTGCTCCTGAACCTCAGTGCTCAGTGTCTGCACATCAGGGCTGTAAGACGTCACCTTCATTTTCACACAGGCTTGCAAGCTGTCATCTGTGAGGCGTGATCGGTGCTTGTTTTTAATATAGTTCATGTTGGAGAAGACCTGCTCACATACATATGTGGAAGAGACCACAAGGGCCATCGAGTCCAACCCCCTGCCAAGCAGGAAACACCATCAGAGCACTCCTGACATATGGTTGTCAAGCCTCTGCTTAAAGACCTCCAAATAAGGAGACTCCACCACACTCCTTGGCAGCAATTCACCAAACTTTCACCTGCTTAAGTTTAAAAAGGGGCTTCAAGCAACTAAAAAGGGGCTTCAGGCAACTAACTCCACGTGGAATTCCACGCGACCGCGACTGCATAATCAATGCCACAAAATGCCAAAGAAAATTAACCAGGGCCCCAGTGAACCATAAATCATAATCAGTGCCTGATGTAAATAATAATTAATAATGAGGGCCCAATGTCATCCTCATCATTATAAAAATAATCCCTCTCTTCGTGCCGCCCAGCCTCCCAAGAAAAAAACCCCACTTCAAACGGTCACAAAGCACAAATTCCACGCGACCGCGACTTGCTATGCCCAATAATCAATGCCCCAAAATGCCATAGAAAATTAATCAGGGCCCCAGTGTACCATAAATCATAATCAGTGCCTGATGTAAATAATAATTAATAATGAGGCATTCGTCATTATAAAAATACCGTATTTTTCGCCCCATAGGACGCTCCGTCCCATAGGACGCACCTAGTTTTTTGGGGGGAAATAAAGGGGAAAAAATTTCCCTTTATTTCCCCCCCAAAAGCAGGTTGGGGAAACTGAACCAGGTCGAGGAACAGCGGGATGGCGGCGCTTCGCCTCCCTGCTGTCCCCCGAGCTTGTGGGGCTGGCCGATGCCTGCGGGGCGGCAGGCTGCTATCCGCAGCGTGGGGAGCCTTGCCGGGAAGTCCGGCAAGGCTCCCCACGCTGCGGATGTCTGCCTGGCAAGGGGGGCGCTCTGCTTTAGGGCGCCCCGCCCGCCGGGCAGCAGGCTGCTATCCGCAGGGTGGGAAGCCTTGCCGGGACCTCCGGCAAGGCTCCCCACGCTGCGGATGTCTGCCTGGCGAGGGGGGCGCTCTGCTTTAGGGCGCCCCGCCCGCCGGGCAGCAGGCTGCTATCCGCAGCGTGGGAAGCCTTGCCAGGACCTCCGGCAAGGCTCCCCACGCTGCGGATGTCTGCCTGGCGAGGGGGGCGCTCTTCTTTACGGCGCCCCGCCCGCCGGGCGGCAGGCTGCTATCCGCAGCGTGGGGAGCCTTGCCGGGACCTCCGGCAAGGCTCCCCACGCTGCGGATGTCTGCCTGGCGAGGGGGGCGCTCTTCTTTACGGCGCCCCGCCCGCCGGGCGGCAGGCTGCTATCGGCAGCGTGGGGAGCCTTGCCGGGACCTCCGGCAAGGCTCCCCACGCTGCGGATGTCTGCCTGGCGAGGGGGGCGCTCTTCTTTACGGCGCCCCGCCCGCCGGGCGGCAGGCTGCTATCCGCAGCGTGGGGAGCCTTGCCGGGACCTCCGGCAAGGCTCCCCACGCTGCGGATGTCTGCCTGGCGAGGGGGGCGCTCTGCTTTAGGGCGCCCCGCCCACCGGGCGGCAGGCTGCTATCCGCAGCGTCGGGAGCCTTGCCGGGAAGTCCGGCAAGGCTCCCCACGCTGCGGATGTCTGCCTGGCGAGGGGGGCGCTCTGCTTTACGGCGCCCCGCCCGCCGGGCGGCAGGCTGGTCACCTCCGCCCCTCGCCTCCGCCCCTCGCCTCCTCCCCTCGCCACCGCCCCGGAGCCGCAGCAAAGGCTTTAAAGAGCCGCATGCGGCTCTGGAGCCGCAGGTTGCCGACCCCCGGCCTAAGCCAATACCTTTTCATTGCTGTAATCAATAAATTTGTGGCCTTTTCTAGCCCAACAACCTTATATCACGTGTCCTTGTGTCTTCATTTCACTTCGCGGGGGTCGGGTCCTCAAACCACAATCAACAACTGCTGCTCAAAGCTAAGAATGAGAAAAGCCTACATTTGCCCTTAGCAAATATAGAAGGAAATGCAAAGCAGTGAGATACGGCGGAGCATTTAACTTGCTTAAGAATGTGTCATAGGCAGGCGCAAATACTGTAGGTTGACAAATTTGCTGCATCACTTTAGATTTAGGAGTTATTTCAAGCTAATTGAAGCATTTACTCAGAGGTAAATGCAGCAGCTACTCATAAATAGTAGATTCCACAGCCGCTACATATTTACTTCGGATTATTGGAAAGCCTTTGAAAATAATGAAAAGCTACAAACTGGGGCAACATATTTCAACTCACTTAAAAAAAATATACAAATTTAAGCATACTGAATTTCCTGTGG